ACCTATTCACAGTCAAATATCAATGAGGCAACCACCAGTGAATTATAACCTTCTTAAATCTATTGAGCATTCAAGAATTATCACCAAAGAACAAGCATGTCATTCACACACTTGCAGCAAGGACTGCATGTGCTATGTCACCTGAAACTCCAAATGTTAATCCACAATGTCAACAAAAACAGTTCTGTAAAAACTAAAATTAAGACAGGAAACCTACAAGTATAACAGCTCCCTTGCAGACATCAATTTCACAATTATTTTGTGTAGCAGTGGTCTTGAAGTTTTTCAAAAATGCTTTATGTTGTTCAGTCATTAAACAATTCCTTATACCACAGAACAAGAATACTCACCATTTCACAGCTAAGTTTTGCACCTCACCATTTTTATCTTCCAGTAACTTCAAAATCATCTTCACCACCTTTCTTTCACTGTCATCATCCAGCTTGATAGAATCTTTCTGTAGTTCTGTCATTAAGTCATTAGTAGCCATAAACCTGACAAAAGATAGTCAGATAATTATTACCAGAAAGATACAGGTTATTCACGGTGCTCATGATTCAAGATTCTCAGTTTCCACCATGGGCTATCACATAAATCATATTTAACACTGGATTACTGTTAGCTGTTTTCAGCATTTATTTTAGTTATAAAAAAAAGAGGAGAAAAATCATATTTGAAACAGAAAGTAACTTTTAGTTGGGTCATCATCCCTCCCTGATGAGAGCTGCTACACATTTTAATTCCAGTGTTTCCATTATATTCTAAATGATCTTTACAAATTAAAACTCACTTTTCTGGATTTTAAGTAGTCCTTTCATGAGCTATGTTGATGTTTTTAAAACAACAGGCTTTTTAAAAACCTTTTTATAAAAATAATTACCTGAGTTTATTTTAAGACTAATTTTAAGCAAGAAGAAAAATACAGAAGGTTTTTCAAACATTCTCCCATAAAATTCACAAAAGCCAAACAATGGAGGAATAAAAGCAAGCTACAATTAATGTATTTTGCATTTTTTTGCCCTGTACAGACTACTTGGTTTATAGTTCAGACAACAGCAGATCATGTTTATCCAACCCTCAACCCAGGGTGCTACATTAAAGACCAGGATTAATTCTTGACAGATCAAGCAAATAAAATCATCTTTCATATCCATTGATTTTCTGTTCAGTAACAGTCACATCCCCCAATAAAAGAACATGCTAGGAAATGCCTTTCCAAAAATATTGCTTTTATGCCTTTTGTTTCTCTTCCTTCTGAAGTCTGTTTTCCAATCTGTTCTTCTTTTGTAAGTGCCCTCTCTTCTCAGAGGAAATAATACAGATGTATTACTCAATTATGAATCCCACGGGCTTCAGTACCGGTCCCAACCCGCATTCAAAGCCCCAGACAAAAATGGTTTGTAATTAAACAGTTTAGGCTGACATTTGGACTTCAGGCACATAAGCCTCAGGCAGACATCACTTGAGCTCAGGTCATACTTGGAAGGTTATCTCTATAGCCTGACATGCTAGATAGTTCTCTTTTTTTACTGAAAATGAAAGCCAAGCCTCTGCATAATCTTAATATGCATCACAAATACCAGATGTCTGTCCTCACATAATGGACTTCAACTTGTCCTGTCTTTTAATACAGTAATTCCAGCCTAATAGACTCAAGGTGTTTCTAAGATAAGACCTCACTCATTTTTCATTCTCACCAACACACCCACTGAAGCAACCCTGTAATCTGACAGGAACCAGATGTGTGCATAAGCAAATGATAAATGCAAATGGCATCAGCTTTTAAGCACAACAGGGAAAAAAGCATCTTGGTAAGTAAAGGTAATGAACAGATAGGATGGGAATAAGGATATACATAAAATCATCCAATAGCAGAAAATTCAAAAACTGTCTCCTTGTTATCGTTATGTTTAAATCCTTTTCTTAAACAGTCTTAAGAGCTTCTCCTCACTTCCCTGGTCAATAGTTCTCATTTCCTAGTCTTACAAGTTCACACACACTCATCACCTAATTGTGACAAGTTCCTAAACTGAGCAAAGCTTGTGCATCCTCAGCGCATTCACAAGCTTCTGCACTCAACTACAACTGAAGAGTCCTCCTGGCAGACTCCGCTATTAAAATAAATCCAACTCCTTCCCAACGCTGTGGGGAGGCTTGGCAACCTTAAAGTAGCTGGTATTTAGAAACATGGTTTTGAGTAGTTTAGATGTGGCCTTTAGTCATGGCTGCTTCCTCCTCAGGCACATCAAACTTTACCTGGTGCAAAGCAGTAGCACATAAGCAGCTCCTCATACCTTGTACTCAGAGTAGTCATTCTCCTCCTCTCACAGCCACACAGTAAATTGCCACCTTAGGTTACTGTCCATTTTAGAGTCTGAGTTTCTGGATACTACAAACATTTGTGCCAGACAAGTCAGTCATTAAACAAGTCAGTTTAGTCAAAAAGCAGAGGGTTAAATTTTATGGTAAAGTGCCTACTTGAACTGTAAGTTATACTCAGCTTCTTGGTATCAAGAAGTTAACTACAATGTCCCTCTTCAAATACACCTTAGAAAAATGCACTAAATACTATTTTATCTATTATGCAAATAAGACACACAAAGTTTCATAAAATGCATTACCGCATAACAGCCAGTTTGTAAAGGTCTACTGTCACCCATTTCCATGGCTTGTAAAGTCAGATTTTAATCTACGCTAGGAATTTTTATTTGGTTTCTTGTTTGTTTTTCTCTCCTGTTGGTTGTTTTTGTTTGTTCGGGTTTTTTTTTACTATTTAAGAACCCCAAAGTTGTTCAAATGTCCTAAAACAAGTCATTTTTAAAGTGCACTCTACACAATTACAAAGCAAGTTTTAAGTACATGCAGCTGGGGAAAAAAGTGCTTGCTACAACTGCATTTGATAGGTATAACCTAGCTTTTTTATGCAAAAAGTTTTATACTCAAAGTCAGTATTTAGCTGGTATCCATTAGAATTTTTTCTAAGTCATGCTCCCCATTAGTACAAAACGGAAAGCTCACTTAATCACAGAAACAAATTAGTATGATGAAAGTACAGAGATCTTCACTAATATTCAGAGGAAAAATGTTTGAATTTATTTTTAGTACAATTTAAGTAAATCAGGAAATTCTGGATTGCCTCTTTTTAGACTAACCAAATTGTTTTTCTACTTCCAAACTTTCTAGCTTAAACTTCCCAGGTAATATCAAGCTACTAAAATATGACAGAAATCAACATAAATTCCCATAAATTTATTTCACGTGTCCAGTGCTACAACAGTTTGTCAAAAGCAAACAAGATTATTCCAAGTCCAACTCTATGGTTATTTCATCTTCACCTCTGTTTTCCTTTAGGTCTTAATATATTAACAAAAGAATTGTTTGGATGTCCACGTGTTTTTTAACTGTAAACTAAGCACTTTAATGCTGCAGCAAAGCAACAAAACCCCAGTGTCTTTTACGCCTTTTCCCTGTCTGAATTCATGTACCCTCTTTGACAAATAAAGGCTTCAAACGTGAATTACCGGTTGCACACAATACAAACAAATGTAATTATTTTTAACTTAACATTTTGCTACAACTATTGTGTATTACCTTTGCTGGGTTTTAAATAACTTACTTACAACATTTCATTTTTTGATACTTAATACTTTCTGATCCTTGCCTTTTATCTGCTATTAATTTACTGCAAAGCAAGCAAATGATCAATAAGAAGTAGTGCTCCTATGACAGAGCCTCAAAATTGATATACCCGTTCTGTCCCCTTAAGACTCAACTGGACCTCTCTCTGGATGCAAAGACTTTGAAAGGCAACACCAAATTATGTGAGTAGCACAAAACTCTTCTGTCTACAACATGCAGCATCCAGAAAGCACGGGAGTTCAAGATGATGTTCAAGCCTGCTGTGCTGGGTGGCCCTCCCTGCTCCTATCTGCAGAGTCACAGGGTCCGTATTTTTTGAGGTTGGGAAGGGACCCTGGGAGGTCATCTCACCCAATCTCTGCTGCTGAAAGTGGGGTCAGCCACAGCAGGCTGCTCGGGTCTTTGTCCGTTCGTCTTCTGAGCATCTGCGAGGCCAAAAAAAATCAAATGCTAACTTCCGCCTTCACCTATCCCCACGCAGTTCTGCAAACCTGACGACCACTTCGCTCCTCACGACTGCCTAGGATATCTGCCCACGAGGCGTGGAGGCCGCGGCTTTTCGGGCACTGCCGTGTCCCGTCCTTCACCGGCAGCGAGGAGGCCCTGCCTCCCAGGAACTTACTTCCCGAGGTAGTTGCAGATTCGCGCCCTGCCCTGCAGAGGCAGCGAGGGAAGGGGGGCCCCTCTCCACGCAGGGAGGTACCGAGGCAAGCACGGCCCGGTCTGGCGGTACCGGGCCCTGACAGCCGCGGCGCCAGGCCCGGGGCCGGCGCGGAGACGGCCATGGGGGCAGGGAGGCGCGGGGCCTGCGGGCGCGCCGGGGCCGGGCGGGCGGGGGAGGGCGCGGCGGGGGAGCGGCGGCGGCGGCGAGCCCCACCTGAAGTCCTTGTCGCTGGATGTCATTTTCTCCAGCAGGTTGGAGATGTGGTACGAGGCGCTCGCCATGTTGACGGACCCGGCCGGGAGGGAAAGGAGGAGAGGAGAAGAGAAGAAGGCGGCAGCGTCTTCCCGGCCTCGCCGGCTCCACTTCGCCCGCTGCTGGGGACGGCAGGGCGGGCCGGGGCCGGGGCCAGAGCCAGAGCCGGTGGAAGGGACGAGGGCGGCGGAGAAAGGCGGGCACTCCGCCGCCTCCTGCGGCTGCGGCTGACACGGCGGGAGGGGCCGGCGGGCTGGGAGCCACTAGCGCTTGGCGCCGGGTGAAAGGTCGCGGAAGTCGGCGCCCCTGGATTGGCTCTGCCACTGGGAGGGAGGTGCCCACGGCGGTGTGACGCCAGGGCGTACGTGGCGCAGAGCGTGCGCGGGAAGTTTAGGCCTCCGTTGCAGGGTGGCGGGAGGCGGGGATGCGGCGGCGGGAGGCGGTGGGAAGGTTGGCGAGGACTACGCTTCCCGGCGTGCATCCTGTCCACGTCGCACCAGCAGCTATCGGCGGTGCACGCCGGGACGTGTAGTTCAGGGGGGGGGGACGGAGGGGCCTCCGCGGCGCGTTGCTCGCCGGGATGTGGAGCCTCGTTGTGGTGAGCGGGTGAGGCGGTTTGCAGGTGGGGTGGTGTTTGTTGGGGTTCCGCAGGTCTCACCTCGAGCGAGAGCCGACTGAAACGTGGCTGTTAGTACACTTCGACCTAGAAGCTGGCCACATTAAAAGGATTCACCAACGCTCCGAGTGCCTGTCAGTGCCCTGAGTGGGTAGGCACCAGATGTGATTTTTGTACTACGGCCGTTACAGACATGGCATACTGCGGTGTTAACAGACGCTGTAGCTTCTGTTCCGGGCCCTCTCATACATGTGCGGCTGCCATCGCTGAGAAATGTTTGATGGAAGCCAGTAGTGGTGATGTGAAAATCAAATTTCTTGGTTTAAAAAAAAAGGGGAGCAAGCTCCTGTTTGGCTGTAGTTTGAAGAAGACAGCTTGAAAATCTGATGTAAGCACTTTCAGAGCCTTGGAAGCCAAAGGATGTATTTCAGATAATTTTTATTTATTTATTTATTTTATAGCTCATTCATGTTGATCTTGTTACTTTTCTGGGCCTAACCTCTGATCTGTTTGTGCATCAGTGCATGGTACAGAGCAGTGGGAGAACTGGGGTAATGTTTCCATACTAGATCTTCCTTAAGGTTCATGTTAAAATACAAGAACGTTAAATAACCTTAATCCCTCTCAGTTACGCGTGTGTACAGCAAAACTAAAAAGCTTTTAGATCACTTAATGTGTATTAAAAAGAAAAAAGGACTAAAAATTTCTTTTAAATAGGCATTTATTACATGCATCTTGCAGGCAGCCTTGGACAACAGCTGGTGGAAAGAATGTTCTACTCGGTGGAGAGAAACTGTGTGTCACTGCCATGGCCTGTCACCCAGCCACAGTGTTCAAGCTTGTATTTTCAAAGATAGTCATATTGTTAATCGTCTTTGTTGGAGAGAGAGCTTAATACGTACTGATCTCATTCCCCGGAGCAACTTGGTCATAGGTTAGCACTGTACAGTGAAACAGTGTATGGGGTAAGGAGGTGTGCAGCATGATGTTGGATCAGTAGCACTGTGGTGAGGTGTGATGTAGGGATAGAGTAAGGAAAATGCAAGTAGTCAGGAGGGGGGTGGGTATCCTGAAGAGATATGGGGAAACTTCAGTATGGGTAGAGGAACTACAGTGAGGGAAGGCACTCAGGAGAGCTGACTGATTTTCAAATAGGCCATACACTCCTTTGGTTTGGGAATACTTAAAAGTTCCTTTTAGAGAGTGAATTTCTTTACTTCATTTTGCTTGAATGCCTGTGTTGGATATTCAACGAAGCCAGCTGGAACAATACATGTGAAGATAGATTGCCTTGACTTGGTTGTGACAGCTGAAAATGGTTTATGGCATCTGAATTGTGATGGTATTATACTACACACAAAAACTGTGTAGCTGCTCTTTGAAGTACTGAGACATAAAAAGTTGAAGTACAAACATTTGGCATATTGATTCACATTTTGCCATGTGAACATTAGTGCTATTCTAAATCATTTCAGTGACCATGACTTTTGCATATGTTACATTTCCCAGGAACAATTTGTTTCTGAGATGTCAGTGTCACATTACCACATTATGTTCGTAACTTTTGACTGAACGGGGATGGAATGGTTATGGGGTGGTGAAGATCATCTGTTCCAAAAGTGTTCTGCCCACATGGTTACCGTGCTGCATTCTATCAGATAAGCATGTTAAGACCAATCAGACAATAGAAAACTCTATGGTGTGTAAGGTCTTCATGTCCTTCTAAGCAGATCCACTCAAGTAGGGATTTAACTTTTTTAATCCTCACTGTTTCCAATTAGACATTAAACTAAGCTGTTTCTGACTTTGGGAATCCTACATACATATACTTATTACAAGCAAGTGTACGAGAGAAAAAAAAAATCAGATAATTTCAGAACAATTCTGCTCTAGTCTGCTGCACAACCTTGAACACTTTAAAATTATCTTAAATCATTTAGCGTTATCCTTCCCATGCTGGTTTCTATACCTCAGCCAGCTTACCCTGTCACTGCTTAAACCTGATTTCTTATTACTGCCAGAAACATAGGCCATCATGAAGGAAGTTACAAGTATTTTCTTCAAGAACATTTATTACAATTGGGATTCAGCTATAGTAGATGCAGTGTTCCAGAGGAAGTTACACACAGAGAAAAGCTAATTGCGAAGAGATTTTTTCCAGCTGATAGCAAACAACTTCACAGATGGAGTGGTACTCCTGATCTGTTCCCTGTAGACATGCATATTAGACGCTCTTGGTTCATTCACAAAGATAGCTGAAAGCTTAATTAACTGCTGGAACCTGAAAGGATTTATCTTGCTTTACACTTGCAAATATATTCCCCAAATGCTGAAGATGAGAGAAGAGCAGGTTTAGTTTAGAGATGCATTCACAGCACTAGAATTTGAACCCTCAAAAATTTGCCCTTTCACTTCACATGGGAGTTGTGATCCCACTGATTGCAGAGGACATCAGGAATGTGCTACATCTTTGTCTATCATCCTGGAAAGAACTATACCACACAGCTTTACTCGGCTTAAAGGGAATCCTTTAGGATGACAAGTTTAAAGCTGGTTATCGTTTTTTACAGCTGGTTTTTGGGGTAATAAAAGGAAAATTGCTGCTCACTGCTGCAAGCAGATATTTGAGCCAAGAACCTTACAGTCATGGCTTATCTCTTAGATGCGTGACTGACTTTGTACATCTGAACTTTGAATTTTTAAAAAGATGTCTGGAAAGAAAGTTTTTACAAGTGTATCTGCTGATTATATTAACAAACCACAGATGGTGTCAAAGAAGTGATCTAGATTTAAATATGAAACAAAAAAGAATGGTACAACAATCTTTAACTTAAAGCAAACAAATTGAAAAAGCAGCATAACCTATGCTAGAACAGTTGTGTGGGTAAATGTGTGTTTTAAGGCTATCCCTGAATTACATTGAATAAAATACTGCGTTCCAAAAGATGAAAGCACATTAACTGGAGAACTAGAAACTTGGCTTTGGAATCTTAATCATAACAATGCTCTCTTAAGGGTGTTTCCCCTCCTCCTTCTCTCCACCCTTTTATTTTCTGTTTTCATTATTTTTAAAGTTAGATTACATTCCATAATAAATGGTAGGAGTTTCCAAAGTAGGGCACATTTGGAACTAAATAAATCATAAGCTGCCTTTCACTTCCTAAGCCAAAGTTTTAGCGAAGTTTTTCTTTCTCCTTAAAGCTGAAAACTTGTTCACATGCAGTTTAAGTAAGAATCCCAAAGCATCTTTCCAAAAGCAGTTGGTGCTACTGTGCTAATTGTCACCTAAAACTGTTTCATTTTTGGACAATAGAAGATACTCATTTAGGGGAGATTTCTACACTTACCAAGAAGAATAAATAATATCTACAGCTGTGAACTGCTTAGGCTTTCCTTCCTTAACCCAGATGATCCACTTCTGTAAAGCAAAGCAAAGTGTCTGATTCCATCAGCTTTAAATAGAGAAAGATCTGGGAAAAAAAGTGCTGAAAATAATACATGCATCCGGTTAAGCAGTTGACTGAAGCAACTGTCAAATGGGCTGCAATTGCCTCTCTAAAAGAGCAGAGCTCCAATAGCACCCTCATCATAAGATTAAGTTTCAGGAAATGTAATATCTTGAGGAAAAAAATTTAACAGTATTTTAATTAGAAAAACAAACAAGCAAAACACAAAAATTCTAAAATAAATCTCCCTTCTGGTTGCTAAACATTGCACAGCTTTTTGCAGCATCTGTGGTCAAAACTATATGAATACATTCCACAATCACCCAAAAATAAAATGAATTTTTCAAATGAAATCTGATTTGAAGCATGAGCTGAAAATTTAGATTAAAAGATTTTTGTCATTGTATTATTTTCATGCCAGATGAACTTGGTTTACAGAACAAAAGTTTTTTGTGTTCCTTAATACCTCTTCTGAAAATCAGTCCAGTTTGGTTTTCTTTTTCCTTGACCATTTCCATTTTCATTCCTTATCACAACTCTGCATTTGTAATTGCTTCAGAGCCAATTATGTTTCCCTTTATGTCAGCACACCCAGCTTTCTTCATGTAATGATCTCAGCCATGCTTGTACTAGAGATGCTTGTCTCCAGTAAACTTAAAGCAGTTGTTTAATTGGAACTTCTGATGTTGAACAATGCTCTTTGTGTTTCAGAAGTCATAAAAATACAAATTATAATAAGTGTTTGGACTATTTAGGCTTATTAGAACCAGAGGTAGCTGTGCTGTGGATTTTGTTTATTCCGGATCCCACATTTCAGGAAAGCCTTGACTATACTGGTAATTTAGAAATTTCAGTGTTGGTACATTGGCTAATTACAATATGAGTCAATGTTTGTCAAGACAGACATAAGGGCTAATCTGTTTCATTTCATAACATTTTAAAGCGCTGCTGCTGTTTTGTGGATTCTTGCTTAAGAGTGCTTCATTTCGGGTCTATAGGATGTGCTTGCTATCTCCCTCCCTCATTTATGAGACTGTCAGTAACAGCAAAAATGAAAAAATACAAATGTAATTATTCTTCCATGAATCAGGGTGAACACAGAGGGCTAAAACTAAATTGGAATTAATGAATCTATGCAATAGAGTGTAACTGTGCAGAGTCTGATTTCTTGGAGCAAAACTGACTCGTCTACGGGATCGTCCAAGGTACAGTGACTCCGTGACTCTCAGAGCAGATGATGCCTGTTGCCAGCCTGCCATCACTTGAGCAACAAACATAATCCACTGCCTGTCAGCATGTGTCTCTGTTGGACACCACAAACTGATTCATGTTTTGATCTTTTTCATACTCTATGCATGTTTTACTGTAGGGCTCTATTAGTCTTCTAACTTGCATGCTGAACAGCTCTTAACATATGTATTCTTTCAAATTTGCTAGTTGAGTAATAAATAAATAATAACGACTCAGTACACACCATCACCCACATTCTCACAATGGAAGAATCTAAAAACATCCCCTGAATTCCATATGCTTTGCAGGAGAAATTTTTTTCAGCCATCCTTTCGTAGTTCTTATATCTGACATATAATACCTGTACTATTAGGTCATCTTGAGCAGGGACACATACCAGTCTTTATTAGAGGCTGTTCTGGGACTGAAAAGCTCTACGTTTGATCAACTCAAAATTTCTTTGATTTTTTTTTTTTTTTCTGTGAACTGAAGTATATTTAACACACAGTAAGTGGTTATTATGCACAAAATCTTGTCAGAGGAGTACTAAGTTCAAGTACTGATTAGACCCTGTCTGTGTAGTTGCCTCTTGTTAAGTATTTTTTAAAAGAGAACAAGGGCATAGCATGGTAACAGACTGGAAAACTGCTGTAAGATTGCTTTTGCTGTTTGCACCTACAGAACTGCCACTTCTCCCTGCAAAATCTTTTGAGTATTTTGAATTGAAACCTTTAAAAGGAAGGAAGTCAAGATCCAACCCCCAGAACATATGAATCTGCTAATGTGTGGGAAAGCTACATGCCTCCTTGTCCTTATTAGAGTTTTGCCTGAATTTAGTTAACTCGGCCTAGTGCAACCATTTCCACTTTACCCTGGAGGCAGGGCTGCTGAAGGGGCTGGGGTCTCCAGGGTCTTTCTACCACCAAAGAACACATAACAGTCAGTCTCTTCAGCTCTGCGCTGAAGGTCTGTGTGAGTGTCAGCAAACATTTGAACAGAAAGAAAAGTTAATTTATATTGCCAATATTCTCACCATAACTTACTGAGTCTTGGGGCCTAGTGTCTTTCCACGTGATTTTGCTCTTTGATATAATTCAGTAACTACATGTTTGCATGCTAAAATTTGTCAACACAGAGTCATAGGTGTGAAAGTTGTTTAAATACATATTATTAGCCTACTAATATCATTCTAGGATTAATACCCATGTATTATAAAAGCAGGGTATAGTCTAAGTTTAGGAGACATATGAAACAGCGTATGTTTGAACTTAGCAGAATCATGGTTAGAATTTTTAAACCCTCTGGGTATGTACAATTTTTCTTCTCTTTATAATGAATATGTATAAAATTGACTAGGACTGCCAAGTATCGGTGGCTCATTTGTGAATTTATGTATATGAATGGCAAATACAAAACAAAGTATCAAAAGAAGCACAAATACCAGCCAGGAATCTCGTATATCTTATGTGCATTATTCAAGCGGGAAGAGACTCTTAAAAGAAAATATCTGCAATTAGTTGTAATACTTTCAAAATCATTACGTGCCAGTAAGAAAAACTTATATCAAAAAGAATATGTTTAAATTTCAAAACAATCTGAAGAAATACCCCCTGTTGCTTCATTATCTGTTGGGGGGTTAATGATGCCAGTACCTCTCACTGAGAGAACTGGCATTTCTTAATAACTTCTGTCACGAAAGTCAACCAGCGCTGCTACAGTCTGATACAGAGGAATGTCATTTTCAAAACAAAAATAGTTCTCAAAAACTCCTTAGTCTTTCACGCATTGAAATGTTGATTCCTATTACTTACATTAGAAAAAACATCTCCTGTCTGTCACGGTCAAGGTGACCTGTATGATTTTTAATTCTTTCACCACTTTTGTGGTATTGCCAGCTTAAGGGCATCATTTTATCTCTGTATTCTGCTATAATGGTACCAGATCAGGTCTTTGTTCTGTTATCATCTTGTAAAGACCAAAATTAGTCATTTTTGTAAGATTTTTGCATTACTAGCTAGTGCTTCAGAGAGCCTGGAACAATATATTGTAGAAACAATGTCATTTGCAAGGATGAGATACAGAGAGACAATTGTCTGTTCACATATTGCAAGATAAAAATGATTTTGTCTCTCAACATTTTGTAGAAATGTCCTCAGAGTCTATTCCTACAGTGTTTCTGGAGGCAGTGCTTTCTCCAGCAATAGAAATAAGCTTGTTTCTTTGTTTTCTTCTACCTGTTGTCATTTACACCAGTGCATTCTCAGTGTGAAAAAGCTGATCTGGTGGCATTTTGCAGTTACTTTGTCCTGCTGTGAATAGTTGCACTCTCTACAGTTGTGATTGGCAGGAATGGGAGGGAAATGCAATTCTGCAGCCTTATCCTCCATCAGGAGGTCATCAAAGCGTGCTGCCCCTGCAGAACCACTGTGAGCAGAAACTAGTGTCCCTCAACTCTCATTTGAAACCTGTGCTGCCAAGGAGCAGGGAAACAGATGGAGAAGCACCTACTATAATCTGCCAGCCTGGTGCATGGCTCAGTTTGTTGTCCTTTTCAGATACAGGATGTTTTCCCTTCCATATTTGCCATTGTGATTAAACCACAGGGGCTCACTGCTCTCAGGTCCTTTTCTTGCGTTGCTTCTATTCGTTGCTCTCTCATCTGCTTTGCTTTTCTGTGTGGTGTTAACGGGGTCATTCTGGAAACCCAGCAAAGGCCAAGAACAGCGTGAGATTTGTATTATGGTAAATTTACACAGCAGCAGCAGCTGATGCTGGAAAAGAATTTTCATTATCCCTTGGCAGTGTATAGTCTGAGGCATCTAGCTGAGAAGCTGTGATACCATCCAGAAGGAATAGTTTGTACATGCTTCAAGGTCAGCTTGTAAATATAGCTATTTTATTGCAAGGAAAATACTCCATTTTAGTCAACGTTTGGGACCAGAACATTACTAGAAGGGCAGAAGCACCCACAAGGGTAATTTTTTTTCTGTTCAGAACTCTTTGTCCACAAACTGATGCAGTTTTTGTTTCAAGAAGCCAGCTCCAAAATTACGTTTCCTTGAGGTGACTCATCTAGTACTGCAGTAGTGCAGTACCTGCAGGGCAGTCAAAGGAGGTTGGCAGTGGTCCATGTTATTTCAGACTTCTAGGGAAACAGTGAATTGTGAACGTGGTTGGGTTGTGTGAGCCATCTTGGTAGAGTCAAGGCTGGCTTAAATACAATAAAGCACTTAAACACATTGCTTAATTTTAAACCAATCAGAGTACTCTTATGGCTTCATGTTAAGCGCATGTTTATGTGCTTTGCTGGAAAAAGATGTTATTGTGTCTTGCAGGAGTATCAAACAGGAAGAAAATCTGTATCACTGTTTGCTGCATAAGGTCAGAGGCTCAGATCTTTCTTTAATTAGTGTATTCATTTTACATGCTTCAGAGATCGGGGAAAACAAATCATTTTTCAGTCTCCTTAATGAGGGCCCAGTTCATCAAAATTCTTAGCTCAAGTTAGCACGGTACAATATAAATGCCATTTTCATTATCTAGAAGGATAAAACCCTAACTGACACATTTGCAAAACCAAGCAAAGCCTGGGATGATGAATGCATTTCCAGATCTGTGGGAACTGATCAAATGTGCCATTATATCCATTTGATTCTCTTTTATTAGCAGCTACCAAGATGTCCAGATAGGTAATTCAGAACAAATGTGTTCCTTTGAATACTTAGAAACAACTGAAATGAATATCCATTTTCACATGAATTGCAAAACACTGACCAAAGGAGCAAATGTTATGCTGAACCATGTTCTAATCTGGGGGCAAGGGATATATATATCCACTGTTGGAAGGCAGAAGGAAATACAGCTGCATGTGGCAATTAT